CAGGCTCAAGCTAGGGGGTTTATTCCTCGGTTTTCTCTTTTGTTTGGTCAGTTTCGATATGAAACACTCGAGAAGTGTTTATAGTTACACAAAGGCTAGAACGCTGCTTGCAAAAAATTATAGCCTGCGATTTGTAAAGTACATTTGGCTGATACTAAAACGAAATGTACTTTAAGCATAGAGTCGGAAGGTAAAAAAGAAAGTTTCTTGAGAAAAAAAAATGAAATTGAGAAAAACGTCATTTTTGCGCAGGAGTATTATAGTTGAAGTTAAGAATTGACTTGTCTTCTGCGGTCCTAGTTTTTAGATCTGGGTAATTAATTGTCTCTAACATAGAATATTTAGTCCTTTTATCGCCAGCTAAACTAGTAATAGTGGCTAAACATCAGTAATAGTGGCTTGTACTAAAACCGCCCAGGAACGGCGAAACGCTGGAATGCCGGAATACATAAACCCGGAACACAAAATTAGTACAACCCAGAACGCATAAAAAATCCTAAACGCGGATCACTTAAACCCGAAACGCCAAAACAAACAAACAAATAAATAAATAAATAAATAAATAAATAAATAAATAAATGAATGAATGAATGAATGAATGAATGAATAACCATTTGGAATTCTAATTCTAATTCTGCCAGCCTTTCTTCTCCTGGCTTGTGGGACTGAAACTAGCAAACATGATTGGTAAAACAATGATTAATTAGGTGATCTATATCCCCTTGTACATCTTGAATGAATAGAAACCAGCTAGCCAGCTCACCTTGTGGAAGAGCCCTCCATCTCTCGATGAAAGCCCCCCCAGGTTGGAGGGGGAACTCTCGTACGAAATGGTCGAGGATGCTGTCGTCTCGCTTAGGGTATAAACCAAGAATTCTGGTCTCACTTACGGTGTTGATGACAAAACGCCACTGTTTTTAGCTGTCAAAGTAGTGCACTATAAGAAATAATAATACAAGAAACGCTCTCAGCCTGAGGGCTCCTTTCTGGATCAGCAGCTGGTAATCGAGCTATTTCGTTTCAAGTGGTATCTTTCAGTGGTCAAATAAAACTCAAGCTACGCCCAGACTGTTCTCCTTTGGGGGTTCAATTCAAATTTTCCGACGAGCATCTTTGATGCCCATCTTTGATCTTTTCATCTGGGGATGAAAGCACACTTGACTGTAGTAGATACATTATCATAATTATATTTTAGCGGGAAAACATCACCACATGTACACAATTTCTCTTGCTTGAAGCATCTGTTTCAGTGCTCTAAGTATTCTAAGTCGCGGGTTTAAGTAATCCTGTTCCTGGTTTTAGTACTTTTGTGTTCCCGGTTTTATTAATCCGGCTTTAACGTTTAGGATTTTTATGCTATCTGAGTTTTAGTAATTTTGTGTCTATGGTGTTAGTATTCCGGCGTTCCGGGTTTTCCGACGTTCCACCGTTCCTCCGTTCCACCTTTCTAGGTTTCAGAACTAGCATTAATAGTCCAGTTATGCATGAAATAAGGGAAACCCCCTATTTAATTATTTATTATTCAACTTTCTGTTTCACTTTCTGTTGTATCCCAACACACGATGAGGTAAGGTGCGCAGAAGTTTTTCGATTCAGAAACTCCAACTCTTCAAATGTTTTAAATGTAATTACTGTAAACATTTCTCTATAGGCTACCGAGTCATTTGAATCATAGTTTTCTGTCTGATCAGCTGATGTGAAGGTCGAAGGTACGTGTTCGATACATAACAGATTCGCAATCTTTGTTGACGCATTTTGAATCCATATGCATTGTTTGTATTTTAGATCTGGTTTCTCGTGGGGAATGAAGTGTTCGAATTTTGCTTAATAATGAAAAATGCTGCTGCTGAATACATTTTTTTCTACAAGTTACTCAATCATATGTATTTCATATCCAGAAAATGCGAAAGCGACCACTCGATATCACTGAAGTTTATTGAAGGTCCTACTCAGTTATCAAAGGATGACTGTCTATATTTCGCGGGGAAAGGAGGCAAGTTAGGTGATCTAAGTGGAACTATGTCGTGTATTCGACTTTTAGCGGTGTTAATGTGTATTTTTTTAATGACGTTACTCGCCAGTGACTGAGAATTGCTCATTGTCAAGATATATCTTTAAAAGTAATCAAGTGTGAAAAACAAAAAGTCTGAACGAAAACAGTTCACAAGCTGTTGTAGGAGTTTCTGTGCTATTCGCAAAGTAGCCTGCGAGGAAGCTATCTGTACACCTCTTCTCAACAGGGGTGGAGGGAAGGAGAACGAGAGAGAAAGTGTCACGGATTGATCCTCTATCAATCATTTAGCGTTTTGGTAATTTGACAATAAGGTTGCATTCATAATCAAAGACGAGAAACTTACTAAAAATACTAACAAGCGCAAAGAAAATAATCAAGCAAGTAACACACAGGCGACTTTTCGAATCCTTTCTCGTACACCATTGATCACGTGCACAAGTCAGATTAACATTATGAGGTTACTAGCCAGATGGGCTGATCTTTCATGGAAGGAGGGAAAAACCCCTAAGTTGATTATTTGTTATTCAAATTTTGGTTTCGCTTTCAGTCGTTTTCAATAGACGGTAAGGTTATTTGTGCAGAAGTTACGCCGATTGAGAAACTCGATCTTTTCTTTGCGTGCAGTGATTTATATTAACTTTTCTCCTTAGACTACCGAGCTGAGATGAAGATCTGAGGTAGGTGTTCGATACCATTTATGTATAGTCTGTGTTTTATGTCGCTCGTGGGAACGAACTCTTGAACTTTAATCTACTAATTAGAAATGCTTTAATTAGTGAATGGCAAGAAATTGCTTAGCTTTCAGATTTGAAAACTCTGTGGAGCATAAACAAAGCACTGCAGCGGAAGTACGCACTGCAGTTTCTATTAGGGATACAAAACTTTTGGTCGGCCATTTGTGACTGAGTAAGTGCGTCAAACGTATTTTTTTATAAGCGACTAACCTTGAAGGTTTTGGAAAGAAGCACATCGTGCCTTTATATGACTGTGGAATGTAATGTCTCCGATATGCACTGATGTATTTTCAATTTTTGACTTGTGTTGTGACTCGTGCCTTGTTGAGTGCATTTCAGTGGTGGTGGGGAGGGTCGGAACATTTGCGTGTCGTGGCTTTTTTTGTTTAAGTTAAGCTCCTTTTCGCCATATTGTCCCTCTCGTATAGAACTTAAATTCACGTGTATTACGGTCATACTCTCGCAAGGTCACGAGGCTCCTTAATGTGTTTAAAGTAAGAGGGGCCCCCTAACGTCTGACCTATTGTTATTACTGTGCAAATCAGCGCTCTCGAATTGTTTCCTTTGTCCGCGCTCGTGAGAATTGTGAATCTCTTTAAAGTTCTTACAGAAGAGTCGGCTAAGTCTGGCGGGCTGCTGACAGGGAAGTTAAATGATACGAAATTGTTTGACATTAAGCAAGTTCTAGACGGTGATGTTATTTAGAAGTGTTCGGCGGAAACATCAGAAACCGAAAAATTTAACCGAATGAATAAAAATGCAGTGTATATAATGTATTTTCCTTTGTATTTTAGTCATGGCGGAAAGGCAAGTCAAATCGCGTGAAGCAAAAGTGGATTTGGATGAAGATGTTTTAGAAGGTGAGAAGGCAAAAACTACAAAAGAAACTCTCAGAGAAATTTAATATTAGACATCGATTTTTGAAGAGCGATGTTATTTTGCAGTGAACAAGGTCTACACTGCAGACTGTGGAAATCTAATGTCATATAACTTAGTTGAGGAGCCAAAATAACTAATTTATGAAGCTTGGATGCCCTTAATACCTGGGAAATGTGGAAAACAACAAAAACAACAACAAAAAACTTGCTAAAGATGTAATAAGGCGAAACAAGATAAAAGACAGAACCGAGACCTTGTTTTTTTCTAGAGAACTAATCCATTATTTTGATGTCTCACTTTTGCAACGTTGTTTGTTAGTAATTGTCATTAATTTTAATTCTGTTGTGAATTATTGCTGGTAGTTATGGAATAGAGCAGTTTTCAATCGAGTATCGTTATTAAACCAAACCAAAGCTTTTCTCTAGCCAATCACAAAGGACACAGGGAATCCAGTGAACCAATCAAAACTTGAAGTAAATACATGTCGCTGACGCGAAGCGCGGGAAAACTTGTGTGAGCGAATAAGGATTGGCTTTGGTTTCATTTTTGACTGGATGGAAAAGTGGCGCTAAACTCAAATGTAAACCGCTCTAAAGAGTTTTTGAATAAAAATTGAAGTTTCTTTTCCCGACATTTTATCAGTCATAGCCCAAGGCCCAGCTCCAGACCCAGGCCCTTCTGATGAGAAACCTGATTTCGATGATGATACTCTTAAAGGTGAGAAAAATAACTGTCAGCTAGTTTATTATTATTATAAAACACCATTAATCCGCCAAATCGAACCTGTTTGGTTAGCTTTGGTTGGATTTTGCTCTAAAATACTTACAGAATAATATTTGTTAAGAATGGTAACTACTGTAGTCCGAAGTAAAAACTCACAGACCATTTCAAAGAAAAGAACTGGAAAAGATTTAAAAGCCATTTAATTGAGATCTGTTTTCCAGGGATCAGCTAACTCCTTGCGGAAGAGGGGCGCATAAGGATTGTGTTACTTTGCAAAAAAAATGAACAGTGTAAGGGAAACAAATTGTTCAATACACTGTACAAAATAAGTCACTAATCAAATCAGTTTTGCTTTTTCAGCGATAGCAGAAGTCTATCAGGAAGAAGGTGACAAAGAACTTACAAGAAAAGAAGTTTGTAACGCGATATACTTCTACACGGAAGGAATTCAAGTGAACTGTAAGGATGTCCAAGTGAACGCTAAGCTGTACAGCAACAGGGCAACAGCTTATTACCATCTCGGTAAGATCTTGGTCTTGTCATTTATAAATTTATCCGCCAATTTGAAGAAATTTTGCTTTCTTTGCGCCTAGCCCAAAATCTCTGCGGATAACTATCTAGCTTTCTACGCAAACGCACTGGACACTTACAAATAACACAAATGCTCACAAATTGGTTACTTCAAGATGCTCACTTCCTCTTCCAAGACTTGGCGGAGGAAGATTGCGTGACGAACCCAAACAGCGTCTGCGCAGGAGGCTAGCAACTATCTGACCATAGGAAGAAACAGATGGAAACACTTTATTAATGCAATAGCGCACGATAGATCAGCCAATCAGATTGTAGCATTGCGGTAGTGTTCAAGAGGAATTGTGCTAATTAATTGTTTATAAGGGTCAAGCGTTTACACGTCATTCCATGGTATTATGATACTCAAGTTCTACGTCATTGTCTTTGTACTCTTCATGTAAACTGATGCAGCTTTGTAAATTATTATTGATAAAAGGTAGTTGTTTTTGTACTGAAAATTAGCTGTTCCAACGCGGTGATGTAGCTCAGCCAATCAGATTGTAGCATTGCGGTAGTGTACAAGTGGAATTGATTGAATTAATTTGTTGATAAGGGTTAAGCCTTTACCCATTATTTCATGGTATTATGATACTCAAGTTGTACATCATTGTCGTTGTCTTTGTATACTCTACATATACCTATGTTTTGTGCGCTTTATAAATATTAAAGTTCCAACGCGGTGAAAAAAAGTTCAAACATGGATCATCGTCTAAAGATTAGTACACTGATGTTGCCTTGAAATGAAAACAGACCTTTCTATAAACAAAGATTTGTCCCAGAGCAAGGTTTGGCGGCAACTATTGGCTCACAGAAAAAAATTGAACCTCAACATGAACATAAACTGAAAACAGTAAGATTTTGTTATCGAAATTTCTAACCCCTGTGGTATTGTATAGCTGTCTTATTTCCCATTAAGATATCCTCTTTTGGTGAAATTTAATTTGTGGATATACAAATAATTTTCGGTGTTATCTGTTGACTTCCAAAAGGTGGAAAACGAAAAATTAAAACCTGGTTTTCTTCCACAATCTCAGACCTCTGCGCCCGCTTGCCGTTTTAGTGTACCATAGTTTACTGCAGTTTTCAGCCTAAAAACTACTTCTTCGAGCTATCTTCAAACAAGAATTCACATGAGAGGGTCATTTCTTTTTAATCTTGGTCTACAAAATTGAAATAGGAAGATGAGTTGAGCCTCTTCGCTAATTGGGTACTATAGTAACTGAAACGCCTGATAATTCCCGCCCAAAGTTGTACCACGTGATCAGTTTGAGCCAACGCTTGAAAGTGGCCCCTCCACGGTGTACTAATCTGCCGCGCCACATGATCGGTTTGAGCCAATCAGAATAACGGAAAATTTTAAGTTGAGCAAATACTGATAATAGTTGATGATGTCCAAAGATTTGAAGATTATATTTGGAATGTCCCTACTCTTGGTCTAAGACAACCTTTGAGAAAGACTGCAATTCAACTTACTTTACTTCATGCAGCTCACCATTAGTTTTGAACTATACTGTTTGCTTTGTTTTGGTTCTCTTCATGTTGGCAACAACAGCAAAAACAATCCTCTGTTTATCCTTTATTAATATTTATTATTGGCGAGATATGTTTTCAGTTTTACTGCTTTTTTGTAACAGTCCTGATTGAAAGGCGTTTAATTCCCTGATTTCCGTTAGTTTGCTTCCATCGCCTGAAGACTCGAATTCATCATAGCACAAACCATCTCTTGATAATTCTTTTAAGAGGGTGGTAAAGGGGGGAGGGGGGGGGGGTATAGATCACTTTTCACGGAAAATAAAGCAGCCCTTTCACAATTCACGAAAGATACAACATTGGCATTTCACGCTTCACGGAAAATAAGAGAGAACGTTTTGGAAAATCACGGTTCACGGCGACTATGGAAATTACGATTCACAAGGAAAAAATTAGCCATTTCACATTTCACGGGGAAAAAAAGGGTCGATCACGGGTCACGAAAATACCCTTTACCACCCTCTTTTAAAGGTACCAGTGATCAGGAGTCACGTGTAATGCGTGCTCTTGATTTGAGAGATAAGTCTTAACATAGAAAGATATGGCGATGTTTAAATATCTCTACAACCTCGTTAGGTTTTATTGCTTCTAATTCTGTGCCTAATTATTTCAATCCTCTTCAAAAGGAAATTACCAAGAAGCCCTGAATGATGCAACAGCTGCCGTCAATTTGGAACCAACTTTGATTAAAGCCATAGAAACCGGTAAAATGCTTGACACAATTGATTATAACATAAAGAAAAAAAACATCGTATTAAACCCGGACGAATCAATGACTGGATTGACCTGGCAAAGATCATAATTCTTTTATGAACTCAATTTTCAATATATAGATTCGCCTTGATATCTCTCCTGCAGCCTGTCCCACATAGATCAGAAACTGGATTAAAACAAGGGATTATTTAGCAAATGAATGGGAAATCAACCCAGATTTCATTGAAACACAGTGAGCCATTTGATTTTTACTGGATTGAACTATTCAGTGCTCAGCCTTTACCAAGATGCAGCTCTAAATCTCTCTGTTAAGCACTATTTCAATACGCATATTTGTGTAGCTAGGTTGTTAAGGGTTAATTACAAGACTAAACCAGGCTTGACTTGTTTTCACCTTTATAATGCGTGTAATATCTTGGTATTTTTGAAGGAGCAAGTGCTTGTGAGCAGCTACAGTGTTATGAAGACGCCATACTGTGGTGTGAGAAGGGATTGGCAGTATCCTTTACAACATCTTTTATGTCTTTTTGCCAGCTGTAAAAAGGAGCTTTCATGTTACCTGTAGGGATTCTAGTAAAAGTAGGTAAGGGATAATTTTCAAAAAATTAGAGCAAGCCTCAGGCCATTTACAAGACAACATTGCTGTCAGAATGTATTTTAATCTGGAAAAGTTACGGAGGTCTTCAATCCTACCCGTTGTCAATCGTGAAGGTATGAGTTGTTACTTACCTTCAGTACATTACATAACCGTATTTATTATATGGAGAAGAGTGTTTTACTGGGAACTAAACCACTCGTAGATTCCATACGCCACTTCATCCGGGACCCGAGTGGCGTATTTTCCGTAT